GAAATGTTAGGTATAAACCCAACTTACTTTTTTCCCTATTGGGAACCCAAATATCTCAACAATATTTTTAATTATTATTTTTTAACTTGCTGTAGAGCATGTGCAATTACCAAAGAGAGATGGGGAAAGTGAGAAAGCAAACCTCTGGGTCCAAGACTCAAACCATGGTCAGCCACATGGGAGTCCAGCGCCTCAACCACCACCATCACCTGCTGACTTCAATACCTCAACACTAATTTTTTAATTACTTATTTAGTTTTGTTTATTCATTCATTTATTTTAATTTTACCAGAGAGAAACACAGAGAGAGGGAAAGCGAGAAAGCAAGCCACCAGGTCTAGAACTCGAACTGTGGTTGGCCATGTGGGAGTGTCCAGAACCTTAATCACCACACCACCTGCAGGTCCCCTCAACACTATATATTAGGTCGTCTTTTTATTTTTTAGTATTTCTTTTGAGAGGGCCTGCCATGTTGGTCCCAGCCTGCATAACACAGTGTCTTAGCAGCTGTGCCAGTTCAAACTTTAAAAAATATATATTTTATTATTATTATTATTATTTTAAAATTTGCAATAGGGGCAGAGAAAGGAAGCTGCCAGGTCCAGGACTTGGACTGTCTTAACTACCATGCCACCTGCTCAATCCCATTCAAAACTTTTTTTAAAAAAAGAATTATCTATTTAATTTTATTTATTAGTTTTTAAATTTGACCAGAAAGAGAGACAAAGAGAGGGAGGGAGAGTGAGAAAGCAAGCCACAGGTCTGGGACTGTCACCGCGGTCAGTTGGCTATGTGCGAGTCCAGTGCCCTAACCACCACACTCCCTGCTGACCCTCCCCCCAACACACACCAGCCATTTCAAAACTTTTAAGTGCGGTCTTTATCAACCATTCCCGTAATCATAGCTACTTCTCCTGATTTTCAACTGGGCATAATGTAAAAATACTGAAAAATGAAGCTTCCCTCTCAAAACACACTTCAGGGCCAGCTAGTAGCATGGTGGGTAAAGCAGCTGGATCTCACATGGCCAAACACATAGTTCAAATCCTGGGTCTAATTGCTTGAGAAATATGCCAGGTGCATGTGCAGGCATATCCAAAATCCTGTGAGCATGGCGGAGGGATAGCGGCATAGCCATCCCCTTCTGGGGAGTGATTTCTCACCACCCCACCACCACCTCTAGTCTTTCTCCAGCAAGCACATGCACCCTATAGCAAAATGTAAAAACTAAACAAAACACAAAACCGCATCACCATTCCTTGAACGTGAAGAGCCACCTCCCCTCCTCACTCTGCATGGTTTCCTCTGGGCTGAGGCCCTGGGGGAACTGGTTCTGAAGGAAACCACAACCGGTAATCTCAGCGTCTTTCACACATGACCAGGCAGCCGCGGCCGTCTAGTGCTGTTGCTGTTTAGCTTTCTCAGCAATGCAAGACGAACCAAGGTCTCCAGCCTCTCTGAGCCTCAGTTCCACAGGCTTCGGAGAAGGCGGTTAGTAGTCTCTGGCTCCTAAGCGATGGGAAGTAAAATCATGCATGTGAGGCACCGGGCGTCATGCCTGGTCTCTGTGGTAGGGATCATTTCATGCCTACACACACGGCTACACTCCCACCAACACCCCAAAGTTCCACCTGTTCAAAACTATCAGCTCTGCTCTGTCATGGCCACCCTTGGCAGGCACCACCTCTCCCAACTTCTGCCTGCTCTCAGATACTGTTGGTCCTTGGCTCATGTATGGCACTACTTCTGGGAAGAACTGAGTCAGAGAAATTGTTTCCAGAATGGGATACAGAAGCTCATCCATTGAAGAGGAAGAAGAAAAAAAGCCAAATTGCTAAGTTTTTTTTCCCTCATATTTTTAAAATTTCTATTTTCTTATTTATAAAGTACAGGGTACTTCAAACATTCATGAAAAATAGAATTAAAGTAGAAGCTTATTTTGATGCAAAAAAATTGAAATCCATGTGTCATTTTTTCTTTAAATTATTATTTTATTATTATAATTTTAAAATTTGACAAGAGAGACAGAAAGAGATGGAAAGTGAGAAGGCAAGCTGCCAGGCCTGGGATTCAAACCATGGTTGGCAATGTGAGAGTCCACAGCCTTAACCATCATGCCACCTGCTGGCCCTCCATGTGTAGTTTTTTCATAATTTTCCATGAGCTTTTTGGCTTTTTGTTTGTTTGCTATAGGTGTGCTCCTGGGGCAGAGGAGACTGAGAAATTACCTCCACTCAACAAATCCTTCTTTTCCATTTTCTTTTTTTTTTATAAAGACTTATTATTTTAACAATTTATTCATTCATTTTATTTTAATTTGACCAGAGAACGGACAGAGAGAGAGAGAGAGAGAGAGAGAGAAAGCAAGCCACCAGGTCTGGGATTGGAACCGTGGTCAGCCATGTGGGAGTGTCCAGCACTTTAATGACCATGCCACTTGCTGGTCCCAGCCCAGTATGTTCTTCAAGTCACCAGTTCTGGGACTTGAACTGCACTATCGGCCATGTGGGGTCCAGCGACTTAACCACTGCCCTGGCTGACCCAAGTTCTTCTTGAGTATTCTTTGACAAACATGAAGTTACGAGTACTAATGGGAACCAGCAGTTAGCATAATGGCTATGTCGCTGGACTCCCATGTAGTCGACTGCGGTTCACGTCCTGGACCCGGTGGCTTAAAACTCACGCCGGGCATGTGTGCGTGCGTGCCCAAGATCCCGAGAGAAGAATGGAGAAGGGATTGCAGCGTGACCATCCCCCCTGGGGGGTGATTTCTTGCTTTCTGTCTCTATGTCTCTCTCTGTCTGTCTGGCGAGCGCATGCGCCCTATAGCGAAAATCTCTCAAAAAAAAAAAGATATGAGTACTATTAAACCCTATCTTTTTTTAAATTTTTTTAATTTTAGTTTTTTGCCATAAGGTGTGTACACTCACCAGAGACAGAGAGAGACAGTGAGGACAGTGGGAAATCACCCCCACCCCCAGGGAGGGTCCTTCTCCTCCATTCTCTTCTTGGAATTTTGGACACTCACACATCTAGTGTGATTTTCAAACGGCCAGGTCCGAGGCTAGAACCAGTCGGCCATGTGGGACTCCAGTGCCTTAACCACCATGCCACCTGCAGACCTTGTACCCTGTGTTTTAAGAATTCTATTTATAAGGACCAGCAGATGGCATAATGGTTACAACCTGGACTTCCATGTAGCTGACTATGGTTCAAGTCCCAGACTTGGCCGCTTAAAACTCATGTCGGGTGAGTATGTGTGTCCAAGATTCTAAGAAGAGAATGGAGAAGGGATTGTGGAATGGCCATTCCCCCCGGGAGTGATTTCTCACTTTCTGTCTATGTCTCTAACCTACAGCAAAATAAATCTTATATCTACAAATAAGGATTAAATTATATATGGTATCAAGAAAATAGTAAGTAGTCATAGATAGAAGAGAAAAAAATAGGGACCAGTAGATGGCTCAGCAGTTATGTGGCTGGACTCCCACATGGCTGAACATGGTTCAGTTCCCAGACCTGGTGGCTTCAAATGCACACTGGATGCATGTGCAAGGAAGCCCAAGATCCCAGGAAGAGAAAGGATTGTGGCGTGGCCATCCCCCTTGGGGGTTGATTTTTCATTTTCTGTCTGTCTGTCTGACAAGCATACATGCCTTATAGCTAGAGTCTCAAAAAAAAGGAAAGAGAAAAATAAAATGCTACATTTGTAAATCTACGTGCAAAGAACTACCTTTCATGATAAAGAACTATCTTTCATGGCATAATAGCTATGCTATAAATAAGTTATTGATTTGGTGAAAATTTTGGTAAATGAATATATATACCTATCTTGATATTAGCTATTAATTCTCAACTTGAATTACAGATGACTCATAAGCAATTATGATACACAGAATTACAATTCCACATGCTAATGTATTTCCAATTTTAGTGACCAAAATTTGCAAATGTTTTTACTTGAAGGATACTCCCCTGCACACACAAATGACACAATTTCCACATATCTTCCCACAGATTTGTGTGCTCACCCAAATGTCTAGCAGTGTTTTTTGATTCTTATTTTTAGTCTGTATCTGGGCAATCAGGTGGTTCTGTGGTTCCCAAGTGCTATCCTGGGGCTAATGATAGAGCTGCTTTTGCACTGCACAAAAACTTACAAGTTGTGGGATATTAAGAGATGCTTAACCAATAATGGTCAAATTAAAAACAACAACAACAAAAAAAAACCTGTGTACAACAGGGTTAGATACAAGAAGACTCATGAGAACAGTTGGCATCACCTGGCCTGGAAAATGAGACATGCTGGGCTCTGGTAGCAGAGAGGACCTGAGACAGGCAGGTCTGGAAGGCGAACCATGCTCTCTGGTGGAAATGTGGCTCCAATCCAGGATGCTAAATAGGGTAGCTGGCAGACCACGCAGAGGCTCAGGGAAGCGTTTGATGAGATTCTGTCAAGCCAAAGAATCCTTGCCCAGGGAATGATTATTTTAATGGACACTGATGTCTGAAAAGTAGCAAAGAGACCCCAGAAAGGGGGCAGAAAAGGGAAGGTCCAGAGAGTGAGTGTCCCTGACAGCAGAGTCAGGGGTCAGGGTTCGATGACTGTGCCAACTGACTCGTATTTAGAAAACACTCGAAGGGTGTAGCATGGTATGTAACTCAGCTTGCAGCTGTCGGGATTTTAAAACTATGTCCTCTTCCTGCAGTCGGACCATACAAACATGAGATTTTAATAGGCAAGAGTTGAATACACTGAGATTTCCAGTGCTCACCTCTGCTGAATAGGTAACGAGCAATTATTCTCAGAAAACAATGTGTTTTAGTTTTAAAATGCAGTGCCAAAATAAACCCTTTAAAGGACATTTTTGTGAAAGACTAAAAATATTTTAATAACTGTAAATTTTTAGAGAAATATACTGAGAAAGACCCATGTCTTCTTCAACAAAAGAAATGACTACTTCTTTTTCTTCATATTTCACTGCATGTTACAAATTTTGTGATACTGTTAGATGATATATTAATTTTATTTTCATTACATAAATTGAGGAAGAAACATAGAATCAGATCCAAATATATTACAAGGATTTAGGGAGGTGTGTTTTGTTCCTGAACAAAAAAATGATCTGGTTACTGTTTTGAAATTATGTTCAAAATTGAAGCAGACTTCTTTAAAAGCACTATCCAGGCTCCTTTCTCAGTCAGAACACATTCTGGTTTTCATTAACGTATCAATGAATGAACGAACAAATTCTCTCTTAAAAGGTTAACATTCTGGGTGTTCCAAAAAGTCATATTCCACACATTCTTCCAGTTGTTTCAAGACCTTTGGGCTCCCTGTGACAGGAAGCTCTAAGAACAGAGTTCCTAGGTTATCAGCAGGCAGCTGACTTTGGGTCTTAAAAGCACAGTTTAGAGTCTTGAAGAATGGCATTAACTGCCTAATGCTGGAAATGGAATGCTGGCGCAGAAGGGGGAATTCGTTCTTCACAGTGATCTCATCTGAGCTGCTAATTTCCTGCAAAACAATCAAAAACCATAAACATGAAATGCCTTTCCTTAGGGCTGGAGATGCCCATGAAGCATATGTAGGCTGCAAAACTTAAGCTCCGTTCTTTAAGAATGTTCACTATCAGTGCTAATGATAAGGGCATAAACACAAATTCTAGGTCAAGTAATGTTTTCCATCAGGATTTCACCCTGAGCCCAATCCAACTCAAGGCCCTTACATTCTTCCCAGCATTCTTCCTAGCACCCTCTTTTTGGATTCTAAGAAGCAGAGCAATTTGGGGAGTAAAACTATGTGACTGTATTATCCAGAAAGGTTTGCCTCTTAGCAACTGGTATAAGAAAGTGGCACCTGTGTGATATATAAGAATATGGAGGTGGAGTTTATGACCATCTCATTTTAAAACTAAGAAGTATTTTGAAAATTATTCAAAGTAATTAATATCAGTGATACATGAAGTACTTACAGTATGCCCTTTCTCCTTTTTGCTGTGAATATAGTTTTTAAAAAGGAAAAGAAGTATTTACCCCATATTTTACTTTTAGAAGTTCTAGAATCCTAATGGTGTGGGGTTTGCATTCTTGATGATTCTCCTCTAGCTCAGAGAAGAAAGCAGGACCCTCTGTGTCCACTTCCGGAACAAAAGCCCATCTATAACTGAAGGAAAAATAACCAAGGTCAGGCATGAAGGATCAGAACTCATTTAAGAATTTTTCAAAGCAGTGTTCTTAAGATAAAATTCACATGCCATTCCAATTTAATACAATTTGCTGGCTTTATATATTCGTAGAGTTGTACATCTATCACCTCAATCAATTTTAGAGTATTTTTCATTACCCCCCAAAACACTCTGCTTCCCTTAGCCATCACCTCCCAACCCTCCACGTCCCCTTGCTGTTGTCTACTTTCTGTCTGCAGATTTTTCTCATGCTGGACCTTCCATATGAATGAAATCATACAGTATGTGTTCCTTTGTAGCTGGCTTGTTTTAGCTTAAGTTTTTAAAATTCATCCATGTTGTAGTGTGTATCAGTACTTCATTTCATCTTTTTTTTTTTTAGGTTTTTGCCACAGGGTGTGTATGTTCACCAGTGAGGAAAGTGAGAAACCGCCCACCCTCCCCAGGGAGAATGGCCACCCTGTAATCGTTTCTCCATTCTCCTCTTGGAGTTTTTGGCACGTAGCCTGGAGTGACTTTCAAGCGGCTGGGTCTGGGGCTTGAATCGTGGTTGGCCATGTGGGAGTCCTGTCCCTTAGCTACCTGCTGGCCCCAGTACATAATCTTTTATTGCTGAAAGGTATTTCATTGTATAAATAGACCTCATGTTATCTATTCAGTCATCATTTGGTGGCCATTGAACTGTCTTCACTTTTTGCCTATTATGAAAAATGCTACCATACACATTTACGTATAGCAGGACCCTCTTTTTCCCAACAGACTTTTTTTATTTTTCCAGTTTTAGGTTCACAGTAAAATGAGGCAGACAGTACAGACAATTCTCATCTATCTCCTGTCCCCAGACACGCACAGCTTCCCTCTCTATTGATATCCCACCCCAGAGTGGACCTCTGTTGCAACTAATGACCCTACATGACACACCATTATCACCTCGAGTTCCTAATTCACATTAGGGTTAATGCTGGTGCTATACGTTCTATGGGTTTGGGCAAATGTATATGTATCCACCACTAGAGTATCATACAACAATGTGATTGCCCTAAAAATTCTGTGTCTGATTCCTTCTCTAACCCTTGGCTTGTTTTGTTTTGTTCTGCTATCTCTATAGCTTTATTTTTTCAAGAATATCTTATTTGGAATCATACAGTATTTAGCCCTTTCAGACTGGCTTCTTTCACTTAGCAACATGCATTTAAGAAAACCTACTTTTTAACCACAAACATTTCTACATGATTACTCATGTAGAACAAAGACGAGCAACATAAAATCAAATGTACAGGCAGCTGTGTTAGGCCTACAAGAAACACAAACCTAAAGGGCAAGTGAATTGATGGTGGCATGTTCCAAAGAAAAGCATTCACATCAAACAAAACAGATGAAAAATCTGTATAAATGGAGGACCACAGATTGGCGATCCTTGTCTTAGAAATGCTCAACAGCAAAAGTCAGCTAAACACACACACACACACACACACACACACAGATATTAATTGAGAAACACATTCATAAACATGGCTGTAAACCAAATTCACAAAAGCACAGGTGTTGCGAGTAATCTGAAACTTGGTATTCTGAGCTGGCTCGTAGGACACTAGAAACCCACACTGTGGCTTCTCACACAGCACACATGAAAGAACAAGTGAAAGTACTTAAAAGGAATGAAAATCACCTACTTCGAAAAAGACACGTGGTCTTCTCTGACTTACATTTGAAATAATGGCATCTTGTCTGGTGGAAATGAAAGTGCTGTGTCCAAGAATTTGCAAGCAGAGAGATATAAGATGAGTTCACTCTGGGGTATCTCCCCCATCGAGAGCCCGTTTCCATCTGGGACTGAAACTTTCATTCTGTTCATTTTGTTGCTATTTCTATAAATTTGCAAAGAAATTCCTGTTAAAACTCATTCACATCTTCTGTGGTCCATTCACCTATGAAATGCCCACAAGACGAATTTTCCTCTTAAGAATTTTTCAAAAATAGCTGGTCTCTTCACAAGTACTTTAAGAAAATGGTACTTAGCCTTAGATAACCCTACATGACCAAGTGAGTGTGTTGATCTAGATCACGTTTTTTTTTTTCTTTCCCTTTTTTTGGAGAGGTTTTTGCTATAGGGCATGTGTGCTCTCCAGAAAGACAAGAGAGACAGAGAGACAGAAAGTGAGAAATTACCCCCCAGGGGGGATGGTCACGCCAAAAATCCTTTCTCCTCCATTATCCTCTCGGGATCTTGGGCATGCATGCACACATGCCTGGTGTGAGTTTAAGCCACCAGGTCTGGGACTTGAACCACAGTCAATTACATGGGAGTCCAGTGACATAGCCATTATGCCATCTGCTGATCCCTAGATCACTTTAAAAAAAAATATTTTTAATTTTTATTATTATTATTATTATTTTAATTTGACCAGAAAGAGACAGAGAGAGGGAAGGTGAGAAAGCAAGCTGCCAGGTCCAGGACTCAAACCATGGTGGGCCATGTGGGAGTCCAGAACCTTAACCACAATGCCACCTGCCAGCCCCTGGATAGGCTTTTGAAAAAAATTTCTTTTCATTGCCAGAGAGTATATGTACTCATCAGAGAAAGAAATAGAAAGAAAGCACTCTTTAGTGGGTCAAGGTCACACCACAATCTTTTTTCCTCCCTTTTTTTCAATCCTTTCAGGATCTGGGACATGCATGTACACATACCTAGAGTGTTTTTCAAGCTGCTAGGGCCAGGACTTGAACCATAGTTGGTCATGTGCAATGGCAGTTGCTACACTTGGGCCTGCCCAGTCTGGACCACCTTTCACACAGAGAAGAGACCTTGTGTCACTTACCTCAATGATTCATCTTCCTCTTTCAGATCTTCTTCAAGCTGTATGAATGTCTGAATCTTGAAAAAAAAAAAATGCACTCAAGTTACTATCTGAGAGAGAATATGCCACATTTATATGTCTATTTAAAAAACTAGCAAGAAATATGAAATGGTAGTAAGTAGTTGGAATAGGACCAGCAGGTGATTAAGGCGCTAGACTTCCATGTGGTCGACTGCAGTTTGAGTCCCAAACCTGGTGGCTTGCTTTCTCACTGCCCCCTACTCCTTTCCCTCTCTGTCTGTCTGTCTCTGGTGAGCATACATGCCCTGTAACAAATACAAAAAATATCTATGAGAAATAAAATTAAATAATTATTTTAAAAAATTAGTTGAAACAACTGACAGGCAAGAAATCAAATGATGGGACCAGCTGATGGTATAATGGTTACAGCACTGGACTCCTACATAGTCGACTGCAGTTTGAACCCTGGATCCAGTAGCTTAAAACTCATACTGGGCATGTGTGTGTGCATGCCCAAAATCCAGAGAGGAGAATGGAAGGGAAGGGATTGCAGCATGGCCATTCCCCTGGGGGAGGGAGGTGATTTCTCACTTTCTGTCTGTCTCTCTGTCTCTGGTGAGTGTATGTGCCCTATAGCAACAATATCTCTCTCTAAAAATAAATGAAATGATTATAAGATAAAATATTTTCTTTTTAAGAAAAATCATCAGAGGGCACATGCACTTTCTGGAGACAGATAAAGTAAGAAGCACCTCTCATGGGGGAATGATTATGCTGCAATACTTTCTCCTCTGTTTCCTTTCTCTTTCTGGGATTTTGGGCACACAAGCACATACTCCTGGCCCATTTTTCAAGCCACTGGGTCCGAATCATATAGTTGACCATGTGAGATCCAGCCATCTTAACCACCATACCATTGGCTTGCACTGTAGGATAAATATTTTCTACTTAATCAAGAGTTGACTAGGTGAAATGAATAAATTTAAAATAAAAAAAAAAGAGTTGACTAGGTGTTACCAACCTATGTTCAAGCTGATTAACAACTTCTAGATAAAGTTAGATACATATGAAATAGCACATTATATTGTCTATTATATTGTTAGTGAAAAGCATTTTTAAAAGCTCCAACCTTGCTTTCAAGAGTAAAATACTTGTATTTACCAATTCAGAGACCATTATAGGCCACAATGAAGTCAGATGTTGAGGAGATATTCTTAGCAGCAAAACTCTGAAAAAAAGAAACATCTGAGCAGCAACTATGGATGTCTGTCCAACTCTGAGATTGTCTGTCAGGCGTTCTAAGGAAAGAAGATTTTAAAGATGTCACACAAATATACAGTTTGCAGTTTCTCATTATTCAAAGACAAAAAATAAAATTTTAACTGTTTTGCATTCTGTTTAACAAGCCGGTGCGAGAAATGTGCATGCCAGCCTTGGTGGCGTGGCAGATAAACAATGCTCCACAATCCTGTGGCCAGCAGGAAAGTCCCAGGTTTGCGACCTGAGATCTTCGTGTCCAAGCTGGGTGCACATTGGTGATCCTGGCCAGCTGAGGTGTGGTATGAAAACGGCTGGGGAATGCCTCTCTCTCTCCTTTTCTCTCTCGGTAGAAATAACAATTAAAAAAAAAGGGGGGGGGAACGAGAAAAGAAATGAGTGCAGGAGAATATTTTGTCCCAGAGTCTATCCCCAGCCCTCTTCCTTGTGAAGCATAGCAGTTGCTCAAGGAAGTGAATCAAATGACTCATTCCTCTGCCACAGCTGAGCAGAATGGCACCAATGTCTAATCCCAGAAACCCACCAGGTGGCCAGTGACCACTGACATTTTCTTCTAAGAATATGAATTATGGGGACCAGCAGGTGGCGTGGTGGTTAAGGCGCTGGACATTCCTACATGGCTGGTCACGGTTCGAGTCCTGGACCTGGTGGCTTGCTTTCTCACTTTCCCTTTCTCTCGCTCTCTGTGTATCTCTCTGGTCAAATTAAAATAAAATAAATGAATGAATAAGAGTAAATAAATAATTATTTAAAAAAAAAGAATAAGAATTATGAGAAATAGAAACCAGACAGCCCTTGGTGAGAGAAGCCAGCCATAAAGAAGGCTGAGAGGCAACACCTTGCATTAAGGGTGTGGGTGGGAAGGGATGAGTAATAATACAGTTTATTCAGTGAGTCTTAGATTTGATGGTCATGACAAAAAAGTTTCATTTCTGCAAGGGGAAACTTAGGGCCCTAACATGCTTCCCTACTTCCCCACTAAACTAATTGTAGAATGTGGGGGGTTTGTTTGTGTGTTTTTTTCATTTCCACAGCTTAAGCATGGAACAAAATGCTACAGCAAACAGCAGAATGGTCATGCTAGTTAAGACTTGCTCAAGTATATTAGTAACAAATTAGTAATTAGTAAATAAATTAGTTTATTTTAAAAACAATTTGCAAGAGAATTCACCCATTGGGTGGAGACAAACAGGAGCTGGGGTAGAAAGGAATGAGAACTCATCCCCTTCCTGGGGAATGGTCGCATCACAATCCCTTCTCCTTTCAGGATTTTGGGCACACATGCACATGTACCTGGTATATTTTTCAAGCCACTGGGTCTAGACTTGAACTGTGCTGCTGGCTATGTGGTATCCAGCAGCCTTAACCACCATACCACTGGCTGGCCCAGTAGCAAAACTTTTCTTTATTTGAGTGATTTTACGTGGATTTTTATTTCTTGCCTTTAAAACTATTCTGATCAAATGAAAGATAATACTTAGCTATTGACAAACAAGCTGATGTTTATAAAAGTGGTATGCACTTATAGTTCTGGACAAGATGGAGTAAATATATTACAATCTATTCCTTCTTTAATTAAAATAAAAAAGAACCTTGAGAAAAATACATAAACTGACTATTAAAAACTGAAAGGTGGAGAAAAGAAGGTAAAACTGGCCTAGGAAAGTTGGCGGGATTTAAAGAATAACCTGGCAGTCAGTTCCTCTAGGCTTTTTAAAAAAGTATTCATTTAATTTTATTTATTGTAATTCTTCTTCAATTTGACCAGAGAGAGAATGAGAGAGAGAGGGAGAAGGAGAAAGCAAGCCACCAGATCCAGGACTTGAACCACGATCAACCACTGGAGTCCTGTGCCCTAATAATCACCATGCCACCTGCTGACCTCTCTAGGATTTTTAAAAATAAATTTTGCCAGAGGGCATGTGTGATCATTACAGAGAGACAGACAGAGAAGAAGAACAAATGAGAAAGCACCTCCCATACGGCATGGCTGCAATCCCTTTTCTGCCATCTCTACTTCCTTTTGGGATTTGGGGCATTCATGCACATGTGCCCAGTGTGTTTCTCAAGCTGCTGGATCTGAGACTTGACTGCATGGTTGGAAACGTGAGATCAAGCTGACTGAACTTTCAGGCCAGAGCTAGCCCTGAGTCTTCTAGGATTTTTTAAATATTTTATGTTATCTGAGAAGATTGTATAACCTAGAATGCCAAAAATATCAGGTGGAGGGACCAGCAGTTAGTGTAATGGCTATGTTGCTGGACTCCCATGTAGCAGACTGCAGTTCGTGTCCTGGACCCGGTGGCTTAAAACTCACACCGGGCGCGTGTGCATGCATGCTCAAGATCCCGAGAGGAGAATGGAGGAGAAGGGATTGCGGTGTG